GATCCTGGTTTAGATGAAAGGATCCTGGTTCAGATTAAAGGATCCTGGTTTAGATGAAAGGATCCTGGTTCAGATTAAAGGATCCTGTTTTAGATGAAAGGATCCTGGTTTAGATGAAAGGATCCTGGTTCAGATGAAAGGATCCTGGTTCAGATGAAAGGATCCTGGTTCAGATTAAAGGATCCTGGTTTAGATGAAAGGATCCTGGTTTAGATGAAAGGATCCTGGTTCAGATGAAAGGATCCTGGTTCAGATTAAAGGATCCTGGTTTAGATGAAATGATCCTGGTTCAGATTAAAGGATCCTGGTTCAGATGAAAGGATCCTGGTTCAGATTAAAGGATCCTGGTTTAGATGAAAGGATCCTGGTTCAGATTAAAGGATCCTGGTTTAGATGAAAGGATCCTGGTTCAGATTAAAGGACCCTGGTTTAGATGAAAGGATCCTGGTCCAGATGAAAGGATCCTGGTTCAGATTAAAGGATCCTGGTTTAGATGAAAGGATCCTGGTTCAGATGAAAGGATCCTGGTTCAGATGAAAGGATCCTGGTTCAGATTAAAGGATCCTGGTTCAGATTAAAGGATCCTGGTTTAGATGAAAGGATCCTGGTTTAGATGAAAGGATCCTGGTTCAGATGAAAGGACCCTGGTTTAGATGAAAGGATCCTGGTCCAGATCCTGGGCCGATGGAACCCTACATCTGAGCAGGGACCAAAGCAAGAGATGCTTGCTGTATCTCTACCCCCCCCCCCCCCCCCCCCCCCCCCCCCCCCCAGGACATGGAGGCGAGGTGGTTCGTCCGTTCGATGCTGAATCCCGTCAGCAGAGAGACCAGCGAGCGGCTCCAGAACCCCCTGAGTGAGTCCGGCTCTATTCAGACCTCACCTCCATGTTTCCACAAACTCACTTCATCATCACCTCTGTTTCCACAGGAGAATACCATTTCATAATGATCGGCTTCATTCGTCATCACTATGTAATACTGGCCGCCGTCCTGAGCCTGCTCGTGGTTTCTCTGGTTTGTTGGCTGTTTGTGGTAGTTAAACGCCGTGTCCAGCAGGGGGAGCCACATCCCGGTAAGGGGGGGGGGGGGATACGATACTCATTTTCAAAAGTATCGATACCACCGCCCCTTCTCTCTGATTTATTTATGTATTTATTTACGTTGTTTATGATCACTAACAAGACGTTAGCATTGCTAGCTGCGGCTAATGGCTAATAATAACATGCTACCATTAATCAACTACATATCCAACTCCGCCCACATCCATGTCGGCCATTTTTATTAGGTCACCAATAGGAAGATCCCAGGCAAGAAAATCATAATTGCTTCATGGCAATATATATATTAATTTAAAAATAGTTAAATGAATCTTTCAAACACTTAATTAAACTCTATACATAATATTATGTTAAAATAGTGGATGTTAAATAGGTTTGTACAATAAGTCCAAACAAGTTTAACCAAAAAATATTTATTTCTCACAATTATGAAGGCTGGAGGGTTTGGGTCAGGGTTATTAATGTGGGTCAGGGTTAGGGTTAGGATTAGGGTCAGGGTTAGTGTTAGGGTTAGGGTCAGGGGTTAGGGTTAGGGTTAGGGTCATTAATGTGGGCCATCAGTCACGATAACATCAGTAACAGGTCAGTTTGAAATGAAAGACACAATTCAGTTCCATTTTGGGGTCTTTGTTTTTATCTTTGTGGTATCGAAAATGGTATCGAGTATCGAGTATTTTCCTGAGTATCGGTATCCAGTTGAAAATGTTAGTATCGTGACAGCCCTAGCAGGAGCTTCTGCTCCAGCCGTTCTCACTCTGTCTGTTGTTTACAGGAAATGACGAACTGAGAAGTGTCACCACCTCACCTGAGGGGGGCGCCACTGAGCTCCAGAGACCTCTGCTGGCTGATGCCCCCCCCACCTCACCTGAGGGGGGCGCCACTGAGAATGGGATTCCTCCAGAGACCCCTGATGCCCCCCCCACCTCAAACGAGATGGTCGTTAGAGTGGATATCAGTCCGGAGCAGAGGGGAGGCCAGGTAACCAGACTCACCTGCCGGGGTCACATGACC